TTAGGGACCAAATTGAAACTAAAAATAAAAGTGGGACTAAATTGAAACAAACAATTATTATAAGGGACCAAAATAGGTTTTTAGCCATATTTTTATATAGTAATTTAAAGAAGATGACCATTGCAAAACTTTGAGTCTAGCTCACAAGTTTGTTTCGTCTATCTTCATCATCTTTCCCTGTGATGATAAGTAACCTTTTGGCTCACAAGTGTTGCGTTTGTCTTACTTAGACATTATACAACTAGTATAGAGTAACGCGTGTTTATAGAAAAGAATAGATTTACAAAGAGTATGTTTTCGTACAAAATGTATATGTGTATTACTTATGTAAATTAGTGTTCCTATCTTTCTTGTACTTTGATTCTTCTTATATAATAGCTTGGAGAAGATGACCGTTGCAACACTTTGAATTTTGCTCACAAGTTTGTTTCATCTCTCTTCACCGTCTTTCTTTACAATGGTAGGTAACCGTTTGGCTCATTTAATGCGAGTATTAATTGTATTTCACCAAATGACCTCTTATCTAATAAGTAAACTACTTATCATCTTTTCATACCAAACAAGACTTGCAAAGGTAATGTTAATGTAGTGCAACCACAATAGAAATGACTTTATCTTGCAAAGATCTTTATCCTTGAGCTTGACAAAAAAACATGATTTTGTTCTCTTTAACAAATTTTTGAGTTCTAAGATGATTTTCTGGTTCAATCTATTAAGAATAAAGCATTCAAAAGCATTTTTTGTTAGTCTTAATAAATAATAATCATTTAATGTATATGAGACAGATTGTATGTTTTGTTTGATTTACAAAGTCTTACATATGATCTACATCTTATACTTCATCTGATAAGGGTTTTTCATAGACGATTTTGAGGATATTTTCTCTTTATAAAAATATTTTGTTTATTAACATTAAAATTCTAAGATCAAGGGATTCATGATTGTCTTTTGACTTAATACACACACAAACGCAGACACTTATATCTTACATAAGAGCATTTTTAGGGGTTTTTCTTCTTCTTTGAGAGTTTTTAGAATTTTTTAACTTCTTATCTAATTTAATTTTTATTTTTTATATTTGAATTAAATTTTAATATTTTTAAATAAATTATTAATAAATAAAAAA